CTCATCCCTCGTGTAATTCTTCTTTCTGGTTCCATATTATCTTTGTACTTCTCCGAGATTCGCACGGGTCGTCGGTAACAGCGATCCTTGATACTGTCACGGCCGTCGAACAACTATTTCTTAATAGACCGACGGTCGACGAACCTCGGCTAACTTCACGCTCTGAGTCGATGTCTCACCCAACCAGGAGGGCGCAGACGTCGAAAGGGGTGTAACTACGGCGTACTTCGGCGTAGTTACTCTAACTAGGGTTTTGTTCTACTGATGGCGATGTATCTTGATTTATAGCTATCTCTATCTGTCTTTCACTACTGACAACAATCAAGGATCGCTGAAGAACTTCAGCGATCTTCTCAGCTAATATTATCTACTCCTCCTAGACGTTCATCCAACCCTCTCGCGCTTTGACGTACTTCAACGCACTTCGTCCAACTTCCCCGAGCCCTCGGCCATCCTCTTCCTCCTTCGACTAACTCCGCCTAACATCGCCGCACTTCTGCTCCCATTGTCCCTACTTAGCCTAACTCCGTCTAACTTCGCCGTACTTCTGCTCCCATTGTCCCTACTTAGACTAACTCCGCCTAACATCGCCGCACTTCTGCTCCCATTGTCCCTACTTAGCCTAACTCCGTCTAACTTCGCCGTACTTCTGCTCCCATTGTTCCTACTTAGCCTAACTCCGTCTAACCTCGCCGTACTTGGTGTCAGAAGTCCTGAGTTACGTGTAGAGTAAAGAGGTTAAGGCGTGATGGGGTTTTGATGGCCAAAGGAGGGTCATTGTTGGTGGAGTAATCGAGGTGTCGCGACGTAGTTCGTGACAGACACACACTATGCCCAACAATATCTGTATATTCAGAGCATTGTGAATCATGCTCAGGATGGTTCAAGGGGATTATACAGTATCTTCTGTCTTTTACTTATGTAACTTGTCCCTAGTCTTGTTCTCAATCTGCTATTACATGCTGTCTTATCTGATCTTGTGGGATTGTCAGTTGACTTTTGATCTATCTCTGGCTTGATTCCTTCTCCGGTGAGAGGACTGAAGTCTCATGTGTCGAGCTATCATGTTTGACGAGGTTCCTTAGTCAGAACTGGTTCTTGTCATGAGCCGTTGTGACATGGAGGTTGAGGTAACAAGAGAAGCAATTTGAAAGCAAGTTGAACCAATTGATGATTGTAGGCATTATCAGAAGATCCAACATTTGATGAAGTATTTTCCCATGACATCATCTCCTTCTTGTCAGTAGGCTCATCCCAATTCACCCTGAACCTCACTTCCCACGGAAACGTACCTTTCATCCATCAGATCAATTTCCCGGACTTTGCGTCCCACACTTCACATAAGAAGGAGGGTTACATAAGAAGGAGGGTTACATAAGAAGGAGGGTTGAGGTGTTCAGCTTGTCTTCCTTTTTCACACTCTAACCTCATTGCCACTTTCGTTGAAACTGTGGATATGACAGAATATTTGAACCAAGGGATGTTTTTCAGTCCTGCAAGTACCTCACTATCAAGTTGGGGTGTTGCATTTTCAAGGAGGTGGAAGATCACAGCCCAGCAACCCCTTGATGAGTCGTATGAAGCTGGGGACAATGATAGCTCATCTTTACCACCAACCCCACCACCAACACCACCACCAACACCACCACCACCTGCAGGCTCCTCGCCACCTACACTGCCCGTGCCACAGAGCGTACCACCATCACCAACATCTGCAACGTCAACTTTGGCAGAACCTTCCCCCTCATCGCCACTACCAGAAACAAGAATATTCCGGATTTCTATCTGGGAAATCACTATTGTGAGTGCTCAGCAATCATAAGAATTACTACTTATTATGCAGTTAGATACTTTCATGCTCAATCCAGGTGGTTGTGAGCCTGAGTGTGAGCCTGAGTGTGAGCCTGTGAGGCAACATGTGTCATTCTCACAAACTCAACCGCCCATATATGTCCCTGATCTGGTCAGGGACTTTGCCCGTAACATCCCCTCAATTCCTGCAGAACCGGGTGTTCAAAGACTTGGTCGTAGATCCCTTTCCTTTGTTTCTGAGTCTCTGGTTGCCTTCCCTCTTGATACTCAGGTAAATGACCCGAAGAGTGTCTGCATCGAGAATGAGATGTGTGTTTCTGAAAGTTCCCACATACCTGATCCCCCTTTCACTGAGTGGCGAATTGTTGCGACCCGTCCTTGTGAGACCTGAAGAACAAAGACGGAGTGGAAGATAAAGGTTTAGATGGTCTTGGACCAAGACCAATGAAGATGGTCTGTGGTACTGTGAAGTGATCAGATGATAGTCAAGTCAAGAAAGTATAAGTCAAGAAGGATAGGATAGCTTGGAAGGATCGAGTGGTCAAGCTAGTATGTATCAAACAAGGATGACACTTCTGTAAGAAGTACTCCCAAAGAGGTCTGATAAATGTGAAATGCAAAAGATATTTTGATCCTTGGGGAAAAGGATCCATGGGGCCAACAGGGGGGGTTTATATATCCTGCAGAGCGAGACTATCGTTGGAGAGATTCCCAACGGGAATCTCACCTAAGTCTTCACCAGAAGTTCAGTTACATCATACTTTGAATCAAAACGTGATATCTTGAATCAAAGCGAGGCGTAAACCTCTATTCTCTTCTGCGAGACCTCTGTGAGACTTCACTGAGAACCTTTCTCTCTGAGGAATGGGCCGGACCCTTGGATGGGGAAGTCATGATGAGTAGGGTCATGACACGAATCCTGGGGACAAAAGAGTTTCCCCTTGATAGTCTGAATGATGGTAAGCGGCTTCCAGGAGCATTAGAGGGTATTACTCTTCCCCCTCTGAGGAACCTTTTGACCGCCAACTATCCGTCGGGAGAACCAATAGATTCGTGAGAGCGTCTGCTTCTGCTTCTGCGGGTACTGTAACTATGTAACAACGACTCAAAGCCAAGTTCCTTTGAACTGAACAGAACAGGAGGGAGAAGGAACCAATACAGGGAGGTGTAACGGTACTGGAAACACGATGACTAGGTCGCAGGTTGGTTCGAACTCGATGGAACTCTCGTGGAAATCTGTGTGTCTCTGGTGCAATGTGGTGGATCATGTCTCCTCTGCAATCGATGTAGCCAAAGAATGATATTGAAGAATCAGCAAAGTTGGTACTTTGCTGATTGCACTATATACTATACAAGAGTCCGCGTCCTCCCTACTGCAAGCGTTTATGTACATACTCGGACAGGTGAAAAACCGCTTTTGAGCAAACCCAGTGGGGAAATCTCGAAAAGGGAAAACATGTCCCTACCTACTGCAGCACTGCCTCCAACTCTCGCCGTTCTCTTTCCTAATCCGTTGAGTTCGATGGAGTTCTCTCGATTCGTTGTTACTCCGTCACAGGAGGCCATGCTGCAATAAGGTAGGTACATCAATGCTTGCAGCAAGGAAGGAAGGAGACACAAACACCTGCAGACAGTATGTTGTACAGTACAATCAGCATGGTACCAACCTTGCTGATTCTTTGATATCATTCTTTAGCTACATTGATTGCTGAGGACACATGATCCATCACATAGCTGTTAGGTGACACACCGGAGACATGACGCTCCGGAGGGTCACGGTTTAGATTGTGATGCACGGAAGACATGACTCTCCCGAGCGTCATGGTCCTGCCTCATGACCCTCTGAAGCGTCATGGAGATCCGCCACTTCATGAATTTTCTGTTTTTCCCAAGGACTGTGGTTTCTGATCTCCTGACTCAACATCCACAAGACAACCCCTTCAACTCCTTCTTCATAAACTACAATGATCATGTCTGTTGTCCAGGGTGCGTTCAGTGTGGAATTCGAGCAATCATTTTAAGAATGGTTCCAAGAGCAACACTTTAAATATACAATAACAGACAAAGACTACAAGAATTGACGGTGGATCCTTGAACATGTTGATGAAAATCCACCCTTCGTTCCTCCTCACAACTCTTGGATCGCCAAAGTACGCCAACAATGTTGCCTCAGTGATGACATGCATGTCATTTTAATCTGCCCTCTTGGCAAAACAAGCTACTACAAGCTTGTTGTAACGGTACTGGAAACACGATGACTAGGTCGCAGGTTGGGTCGAACTCGATGGAAGTCTCGTGGAAATCTATGTGTCTCTGGTGCTATGTGATGGATCGTGTCTCCTCTGCAATCGATGTAGCCAAAGAATGATATTGAAGAATCAGCAAAGTTGGTACTTTGCTGATTGCACTATATACTATCTACAAGAGTCCGCGTCCTCCTCTAAGTCCTACTGCAAGCGTCTATGTACATACTCGGACAGGTGAAAAACCGCTTTTGAGCAAACCCAGTGGGGAAATCTCGAAAAGGGAAAACCCGTCCCTACCTACTGCAGCACTGCCTCCAATTCCCGCTGTTCTCTTTCCTAATCCGTCGAACTCGATGGAGTTCTCTCGATTCGTTGTTACTCCGTAACATATAGCCATAGCTCATAGACGCAGACTATTTTCAACGTCTGGTCCTGACAGGGGGGGGGGGGAAGAGCATGCACCGATTCTACATGTCTCTATACTAAGTGCAGTCCATTCATACACAGTAAACTAGTGACCATTGCATAAGGTTCAGAAGATAAGTTGGACGGAGGGAATTTTGACGGAAGGGGAAAGAATCTGGTGGCGGTTCGCCCGTCTTGGGCCGATCCTATCGGCTAACAAGCAAGAGGTGAGAGGATTTTGAATCTCTTCACTCAAACCATTGAGCTCTTTTCTCAGCTTCTCAGACTTTCTTTCCTTTCTCATATGTTGATAAGTGGGGAAGCTCTCACACTATCTGAACAAAAGTAAAGCCAGCTCCCTTACCCTCCTCTACGCCTCAACTTTCGCGGCGGGAGATATAAACCTCACTTGTAGTTGTCATTCCTCACTATTCCCCTCATCTACCGGATCAGTATCACTTTCAGAGGCTCATCTCTACTAATACTCGCTCTGACTCTTCCACCCAATCACCGACAATCTTAAGCTCTCTAGTCGTGATGAGTTTGGTACCAGCATCACAACACGGGACTGGGTCTTTATCCTCTTCCGCTAAACTCACTAAATTCGTCACTATTGAAAGTGGCTACCGAGTCACTTTGCACGAGCCTCAGACCGGCAGAGTGACCTCCATTTGGAAGCTCAACGTCGTGAGTAACTACAAAGCCAGGAGATACCCCTGAGGAGTTGGCACTGACATTCCTGCAGGTTGAGACACATATCGCGAATGGCCAAAGTGGCGAGCTGCGCGCGACGCACTTCCCATCAGGAGAGGGCATACTTCCACAGTGTTTGAAACACAAGATTGACGACATCCAATTGACAATGAAATTCGCAAATACTGATTCGAAATTAGTCATAAAGCCTAGCTTCCAAAACCTTTTTATGCCTTGTGAAGCTGAAGCGGACCCTGTGGCGGAATTTGTTGGGGGCACGTCGTCCCTCAGTTACAGGCTCACTGGGTTACCGGTGACAACAGTATGTAAAACAAGCATTCAGGTGGATTGTGAGAACCCAGAGAAATCACCTTTTCCCTGGAGCCCAGAGGAGATCACAGGCTGGCTACGAGATGCTACCTTGCCTACCTCCATGTGAGGATTTGTGAGGCCTGTTTCTAGTACAGGTTGACCCCTTACACCGATACACAGTATAACGTATTTACGAGAGATGAATGAACGGTGACGATGATAAGTCGAGAATTTCTTCAATGACTTTGATCGGGTGTGAAGCTTTAGTCAGTTCAATGATGTCATGGGATTGTGTAGCAGCTTCAATTACTGTCCTACTCTTACAGCTGGGGGCACATTCGGATTGGACATACTGTATGTACAACTGCCCTCTTGCCGCTCTGCCTTCAAATGATCCCTGACTGCAAAGGCCGCCAATGAGTCCTACGAGGGTTTTATCTCATCCCGTTTCGTGAGATTCCGCACTTGGTGCCCAATAAGACACCTCCGCATGCGATCCATTTACCTCTATCCCTCGTACCCCATCCACTCTCTGCTCCGACGGCCAATCAATTCAGGGAAACGAATGCTCCAGTGACCCGTGAGGATGGAGTATGGAAGAGTATATCCCCTTCTCTTCCCTTGGAATGAGTTTCTTGCCTGAATCCTGCCAATCATGGGCTACTTCTCTCCCCTCATGTCCATCCACATTTACTACTCTTCTTTGAGCATCCTCCCTAACCACGTCCCACTGACCGGTTGCAGCCAGCTGGTCACCAAAGACGGACGAGTAGATTCCATCCTCATCTCTTGGCAAAAGCTTCTTGGGCTTTGCGTCCGGCTCCTCAAGCTCTACTAGCAGGCCTTCGACTCCATCCGGCTTTTCACGTTGACCAGTGGGATCAAAGACTTCACTTTCTGCATCTCCCCAAGTGAATGGAGCTTTTAAGAATCGAGGAAGTAGAGAAGCGCTTGGGCGAGTAGGGGAACTAGGTGCACCAGTCTTGGTACGTCCTGATCTATCAATTACCCAACCCAGTCCCAGATGATTGGCTAGTGACTTGGTTTTGTCATTCTTGATTGTAAGATGTGGTTTCTACCGGTCAGCTTATTTCACAATGTGTCCCATCATCCTCCGCATCTTGCTCTATCTCCTTATCCTCTATCACACACAGATCTAGGTAGAAAGAGTACTTCAGTGTCCACATGAAGGGGAGCTGAAGGACTCAGATGAGAGCACTGTTGCAAGGTGGGGTCCGGCATTCAAAACTTCAATCAACATATAGGGGACTCACCTCTGCAGGGAGTTTGAAACGGGGTGATGACGCCACCACCTGCTCTTCCAAGTGATCCGATCCGAAAACGACGTCGGTTGTGGGAGGATCAATCTTCAGAGCTGATAGAAAGTCCATCTCCCCTTTCATTTTCCCCTCAATATTTTTGAGGTTCCCACCATCATTTGGTGTATGTCCCCCATCATTCTCTTGAGGTATTTCCAATCCCCTTGAGGGTTTAGGTACATCTTTCGGAATCGGATGGACGATGGAGGAGGAAACCGAACGTCGATTGACAGTGTGTACACTCTCGGGCAGAGACGCTGGAAGTCCGCTCACTGCCAACCAGAGGGCGCCCACCGTTTCGAGGGACGGACGAACTGCGTCTGGTTGGAACGGTTCCTTCATTTGATTGAGCTCTCGTGCGGTTATGGGTACCGCGTTCTTGTTATCTGCTGGGATCCTACGGGGTGATAAGGGGACAAGATGATGCACTTGACTAGATCTCTTGATTACTTCTTGTGAGAGTCCAACATTCTCTTTGGTTGTAGTAGACAGGTGATGTTCTTGGCTTGACATGATTGGTTAGGCGTTCTCTGACGACAGCGCACTTTCCTCACACACACACGTCTTATGAGTGTCACCGAGATTCTGATTTTGATTAACTTGAAAACCTACAACTTGCCTTTTATGATTGATGGATGATACGAGACGAGAAGAAGATGATTCGACTCCCCATCACTCTGGCATACCTATTTCACTAGGGGGGAGGAAGGTGAAAGGAGGTTTGAACCCTTTGTCATGTCTCACGTATCAGAAAATGTTCATCCTCTATGGTGAGCCCCTGCCCTCCTCCCATATAAGCGTCAGTTTCGCTTATTTGATTTCTAGGATAGAGCAGTGATTGCAGTGAATGGCTCATAGTCAACGGGACACTGTGGCGGCCCGTGCACGGATGAGCGAAATGCCACATTGCCAGCTCCGCCACATTTGCCACCCACTCTTCTCCCTCTTTTCCTCCATCCGTCATCACCATTGTAGTTTTCTCCTGGTTGCCCCTGACTAGACACCCATTATCACTCTTAAGGATCCCCTCTTGTGGTAGTGAAGGATTGAATCACTAAGTAGGTAGATATCAGTGTGAGATATCAGGGTCATGGAATGCCCCTCCACCCCACCCCAACCTTACCCTTCATCTCCCCCCTCCCTCGCTCAACTTCTACTCAAATACGATCTTCGCTCATTATCCCGACCCTCCCCCAGATCCTCTCGGAGCTGATTCAGAACTCTCTGGATGCTTCTGCCAAGTCGTTAGTAGTGAGAATATGCCTCGAAGATGGAGATCAGAGCTTGAGAGTGGAAGATGATGGCTGTGGGATCCCACTGCAGCAGCTCACTCAGGTGGGCAGACGATTCGGTGAGTCATCACTTTACACGTTGTATCTTACTCTCTCACAACCCACCTTACAGATCAATCGTTTCTTGTGTCTTCTTGCTCTTTCGGTTTACATTCTCATCCCCTTCATTCTACGTGCTTCGCACTTTTGACCGCCCGAGTCGATAGTTCTGCAAGGCACTAACGCTCTATTGAGCTTCTTGTCACGATTACCTGCACCCCTTTTTCCTCATCTTGTCTCTCTCCTTCGACATGAGCTAATACTTGTCAGTGACAAGCAAATCCACGACTGGCCATCATGCTGGGCATTACGGCTTTCGAGGAGAAGCCCTGGCCAGTATAGCCGCTCTAGGTCTGCTCGAGGTTTATACCCGGCCAGAAAATGATAGTCGCACATATGCCAAAATTATCAAGGTCAGCTTATGCTTCTTACCAATCGACTAGCTGGAGCTGACGGTCAGGGATCCAAAATTTTGTTCCATGGACTTTCGAATAGGCCGTTGGGGAAGGCTGGGACGACGGTCATCGTAAAGGACATATTCCACGGAGTGCGTTAACTCCACTCGTCTTCCCATGACCTCACGACCACTTTCTTGCATTATCCTCTCCCCCCTCCCCACTTCGCGTGGGTTACCAACATCCTTGCCCAGTCTGTTCACCTTGACGGGGCCATGCTGCGAGCGCCACTCTACAAGGGTCTTACAAGTTCTGTAGGCTTCGTTGGTGACTGTCCTGATCCCAGATACCGGTTCGTCAAGCCGCTCTAGCAGCCTCGTCTCGATCTTCCACTCTTTCTGCCTGCAGAAAAGTCATTGAGACCCTCGCCTTGGCCCATTCGTCGGTAAGCTGGACCGTATGGGAAGATCGGGATGTCGAAACGTCATCTTCGTCATCCAAAAAGATTATGACTATGAGCTCTGTAAGTTCTAAAGCTCAAACAAGCCCCTGTTGACGACGAAAGCATGACGCTTCCCTTGCCACATTCAAGGAGCTATACGGAGGTGCCCTAGTGGAGGTGAGTTGAGACTTGTGGAACACCGCTGATCAGCAGAGAGTGCAGAAAATTCGCGTGTCATCTGGTTTCATGCGTGTCGACGGGTTCATCTCACTTGAAGGGGCGTCCGGAAGAGTTAGTCACTTTATCCTCGAAAGAGAAACGTATTGACTCTGAGGTGCATCAACACCTCTGTGAGCTGCAACAAGGTGTCGTAGTGGAGTACAGGCTGATTGAAAGATGTCAATCACTACCCAGTCCAGAGGAGTGAGCTCCATTTGGCGATATCTCAGAAATTCTCTCATTCCCGCTTTTCGGCGATGAACCAAGATGAGCCATTTGAGGTGGCATCTAGCCGTGAGTGACCCTTAGGTCATACTCGCATCAGCTGACACATTCAGATTCTCGCCGATCTCCCAGAAAGTTGGACAAACATCCAGTCTATGTCCTTGATGTGTGCATACCTGCCGAGGATGTCGATGTTCAATATGAACCTAAGAAGGGACTCCTCGGCTACAAGGTACGAAATAATGTGCAAACACTGTATGCCGAATGTTGACTGATAGGACCTGGAGAAGGTCAAAGCTTTTGTTTTAGCAGTAGTGGACGAATTTTTGAAGCGTCACGACTTTCTGGTTCAGCACACGAAGACGAATACACTGCATGATTCTTCATCCACGCCGCTCGCAAGACTCCACGAGCGGTCCGCTTCTAGCGCTACGCAAATCCTTTCACCAATGCAATCACTGTCCGACCTTCACAGACCCATCTCCACCCCCACCCAGGCTCCTAGACCCTTCACACCTTCCCATCCACGAGACCGTCCCACACATGCAGCGTCTGAGCCTGTCCGAAAACGTGCGCGGGTTGTGACGTCCGTCCGTAAGCTCGGTGTAGAGAAGAGGCCGGATTGGATCGATGACATCCTCGCCGACGTCGATACGGGTGTATGGAATGCCACTCCCCTGAAATCTTCCCTCAATCACACACTCACGCCTCTGCCTCCGCTACCCTCTTCGTCCAAGTGTTGCGTCGAAGCTGGCCTGTCATCGGGCAATCATACCTCGTCGGTCAAATGGAGCTGCCAAAACGAGATCACTTTTCCCCATCATGTCTTGAAATCCGCGACTGTCCTGGGTCAAGTGGATGACAAGTTCATTTGCTGCGTCCTTCCAACCGAGGAAGCAGCGCCGATTTCATCCCGAATAGTGGTGCTCGTCGATCAGCATGCAGCCGACGAGCGTGTTTCGGTAGAATTTCTGCTTCACGACTTGTGCGTAGGGTTTATGAAAAATGATATCCCGATCACTAGACCCAAAGACGACCTCGGCTTCGTTATAAGTCGCGAAGAAGCTCAGCAGCTGTCAAGAACTGTAGCGAGAGACATTTTTCGGCGCTGGGGTATTGACTTATGCCTTCCGGACTCCAAGCTTGATTGGACAACCGTCGACTGGGTTCAGTGCCACATCCGAGCCTATCCCAGTATTCTACCTCGCCTAGGAAGGAAAGATGGTCAGGAGATGGCACGATTGGTCAAGCTGTATCTCCCTGTGGTGCTGGACGGGCTGGGAGAGATCTCAACTATGCTGGGGAGTATCAATGACCATCGTGACATAGACCAGGGACGAATACTAAGATGGATGCCTCAGGAGATGTTGGAATTGGTCAATTCCAAAGCCTGTCGAAGTGAGTTTGTCATTCTCAATCTGCCCGCAAGACACTTCCGATCGGTGCCTGAAAGAAATCGAACCCTGAAAACGATTCACCTTCGATAAGCCAGTTGTTGCTCTTTGCCTCATGGATAGTGAAATAGGGAGGGAAGTTGACGGCAGGTGCTATCATGTTCCAAGACAAACTTGATCAGGAACAATGCGTTCGGTTGGTCGCGCAATTAGCAGAGACTCGAAATCCGTTCAGTTGCGCACATGGAAGACCTAGCTTGGTACCCATTGTCATGCTCTCTACGCCACCTGCCGGCACGATCACGGGGAAGAGAGAGGATTGGTCTGAATGGTCAAAGCAAACATGAGAGTTCGCTACATGTAGCATGTACAGTAGCGCTAGACGAGAATAGATTAGCGCAAGCATAGGGGGATCTATCTAACAGAAGTAGTGGAGGCCCATTAGGTTATCAGGGCCTGACGTCGGAACATTTCCATACCTGGTCCGGAAGTGGCACCCGGTTATCTCACCTCCACTTTGAACGAAATCACATGCGTCTAATTCGTTTCTGGGACAGAAACGTTATACTAACCACTTCGATAACCTCTTCACTTGCTCTCTCGCTGCTTTGACCAGAAGAGTAATTGTCGGCACAAGCTTCAAAATGGCAGTAACACCACTTTCCCCACCGTTGACTCCTCAACCAGGGCTCATCCCCGCTTCTAAGGGAGTAACTACTGAGGAGATGTATCTGGCCGCGGAGAAACTCAAATTCACCATCCCGGAGGGACATAAGGAAGATTATATGAAGTTGTTGGCCAAGACGGATGCCGCTGCTGCGATCATCTTATCACAGGAAGGTGAGTTTCAGTTGTGTATCGTGTACACCGCACCCCCGTCAGGTCACCCCATGTTGCTTATATGACGAGTGTAAACGATCTGTGTCCTCCAACACGGAGATTACCGTTGATGTTGGCGTCCGCTTCTTCTGTTCAGAAGGATGGGAATGCGGTGTGAGACAAAAATGAGGGTGATATTTCGAAAGAGTGAAACACCCGCAATGAGGTTACTAACGATTAGACTACAAACCCAAACCTGACTTTGATCGTTTTCCCCGTACGAATGTCCATCTTCCTAAAGGTGCCGACAACCCTAATCTAGCTTTCGCTTGGAGGGCCGATATTGGTGATCCGGTCGATAGCACTGGCAAGTTGTTGAGTGGTAAAAAGGTTGTCTTCAAGGATACTATCGCTGTGGCAGGTGTCCCTTTGGTTTTTGGTACCAACGCTTTTGAGAATTATATTCGTGAGTGGTTTACCTGACCCTCCCAGCTCCACTAAATCGCGCTCTCATCATCCAGTCATCTCTTTATCACTCCGGATGCTTAGTCGTGTATGAGGTGGACTGGTATTTGGTACAGATAGCAGACATAGAGCTGACCGATAGCCGACGTAGATGCTACCGTCGTCACTCGTGTCCTTGAGAATGGAGGGCATGTTCTCGGTAAAGCGGCTTGTGAGGTATGTCCCAATCCTGTCATAGCCTCTCTCAGGGTCTTCACATGAACCATGAACCTGATTTCTGCCTGTCGAAATCGGTATTCACGGGTGGGAGGAGTATATCCAAGATCGCTGGCTGATGCCTAGAACTTCTCTCACGGCGCATCATCCTCCTCGTCACCTTATGGTCCCGTCGAGAACCCTTACGCATATGGCTTCTCTGCCGGTGGATCCAGTTCGGGGTGCGGTAGTCTCATCGGCGCCGGTGTGGCCGACATGGGTATCGGTGGTGATCAAGGTGGAAGTATCCGTATTGTGAGTCACAAATGTATACCTTGGAGAAGAGGATGGAGCTGATGGATAGCCCGCATCACTTTGCGGAATTGTTGGCTTGAAGCCGACTTTCGGATTGGTGCCGTACACCGGGGTAGTGAGTTGATTATTTCGCGTCTTGTCTTTCCCTTCCATCTTACACAGTCTGTGGCTTGGTGACTCCACGTATTTTCCAAAAAACTATTGGATTAGATGAAGTTGGTTGGTCACATGGAGGTAAATCGTAACAAGGACGATACTGACCTCAGCTCACCTCCGATGCGGGTGTTGATCACGTTGGTCCCATGGCGCGAACTGTGCTTGACACCGCCCGCCTCCTTCAGGCCGTAGCAGGATACGACAAGCTCGATGATCGTCAACTTGGTGCACCCCTTCCAGAAAACGTACCCAAATACCCCGAGCTCGTCCTTGCCTCTCGTCCCCAGGGTGTCAAGGGCATGCATATTGGTGTTCTCAAAGAAGGATTCTTGGACCCTTCTATGAGCCCGGATCTGGAGAAGGTAGTACGTGCTGCCATCGAGAAGTACAAGGAGCTTGGTGCGATCGTAGAAGAGGTTTCTGCGCCTACGTAAGTCTTTTACCTTCACTTCTCTCCGATCATGCCTCTGCAGACGTACTCTAGACTATGTGTACCACAAGGATATTCCGGGGGATGCTACTTCACGAAAGTCGAATTGGACTCTGTAGAAGGATATGCGTAGAGTCATTTAGCCGTCCCGAAGTATGCCGTCGAATGCTCATCGGCAGTCACAAAATCTCCGGATCGCTATCCCACATCATTAACAAGTTCGCTTCAGGAGGTACTCGTCAAGGTCGTCAAGTCGGACGTAGAGGTCTTTACATGACCGATTACTGGGCCCATCTCCTCCCTTGGACTCAAGAGAAATACGACAAAGCGAAATACTACGTCTCTGGTACTGCCATGTCATGGTGAGTCAAATCTTTCCACTCTTCATAGCTAGCTGATTGTCTAGCGAGTATGGCTGGGTCAAATACCCAACTGCCTACGGCAAAGCTCAGAATGTCACTCGGCGACTGAGAGACGAATATGATGCGTTGTTCGAAAAGTACGACGCTATTGTCATGCCTACCAATTATCAACCAGCAAGGAGACATATTCCCGTTGGAGCTGGACCTTTGGTGTGGAACGAAGTTGGCCGTAAGTTTCATTGTCCATTCTTCCATCCCCCTTCACTCCGATAACAGAACGTTCATACTGGTTCATCCGTAGTTTCACATCAGAAGAGAGTAAACGACGAAGAAAAGAAAAAGCTAACCGATAGCGGGTATCACTGCCAACACGGCCGCTTCCAACCTCACCGGACACCCATCTATGACTTTTCCTGTGGGTTTCACCTCTCCCATGCCGGCCGACGTTCGTACCCCTGAAGACGCCCAAGTTCGTTTGCCTGTAGGATTGATGATTATGGGAAAGTTGTTTGATGAGACTACGGTACTCAAAGTTGGTGATGCTTGGGAACAAGCATATGATTGGAAAGTGCAGCCTTAGATATCAAGACGAAGTCGCAATGGAGATGGGAAAATACACAATTTGTTGATTTGGGGTGTGGATGATGGAAAATTCTTGATTACAATGTTTGTGGTTTCTGCCATAGTCGTGTACAAACCTGACTCGCTGATATTTGTGCTAATTTCATCTGCCTGATAAAAGGTTTTGACTCAAAACATCCTCTTTCGGCGATTGGCGTGGCATGATGTGACCATGAGACTGATGCTGACGCAGTGGCTGAATGACCTCTCATATACTGACCGATCTCGAGCCGACACCACGTCGATTTCGATGTCCGCAAGAGTCTCATCCGGCGAGATCGGAGCTGGCCACCCGTGGGGATTCCAGAAATTGTTGGATCCTTTGAGGACAGATCTGTTTAGATTACATCACACCCTATGATTGATACTCTCTCCTCTTGTCTTCTAGACTTAATTTTTGCCACCAGGATCACTTCAGTTCCACATTTCTTTCTAGAACTCCTGACCAGAGAATCACTGAATCTTTCACCCCAAGTTTGCTATACTAACCCAAACATGTCGGAACACTCTCGGCCTTTCAAGGAAAGGGAAGAGCTAGAGAACAATGACAATGATGAGAGTGATAATGGTGGAGAAGCCGAAAGAGACAGTGAGGTGTATTCCCCCCATCTGCCTTTCAGGTCAGAGGTGAGAGGTGTGACCATGGTTGTTCAGAGACGAACGATCACTTCTACTTCAAGCGCCGGTGATTGGAACTGGCGTGTAGAGACTGATCAGACCAGAGTACGTGCTTATTATTCACACAAACAATAGAGATGTACGTTCCGCGCTGATTCATAGATGGTTGTCGTTTTTCGTGACACGTTTGGAGAAGTCTTGGGACAGAGAACGATAGTTTCGTGGCAACAGAGCCGTCGATGGGACGTTGGTAAGTGGGTCGAAGAGACGTGGCAGGCCGGTCCGGCAAATGAACTGTTTCGGATCACTTCATATATTCGAGGAAGTGTTTTTTTGACTTTGAGGACTTACAAGCCATGGGATCCCTCGGACACTTCTGACAGTACGAGTACTTCAGACGATGTCACAGAACTTGTCGAGAGGCCTTCTCAAGATGATTCACCTCAGCCCTCACGAGATCAAGCGGAATGTCATGCCCCCACGTCAACAGGTGACAATTGGAATGTTGCCCGGTCCGGTGATCATACCAACAATGGAGACGCTGGAGGGGAGAAGGACACGGATGAGGCTGAGGTAGGACCACACTTCCCTGAGGTCTAAGTGACGTACACATTCCTCGAGCTTTTGGAGGGGTACAAGTGGGTAGGTCATTGAAGTCAAAAGTGATACATAATCCAGGTAGATTGGCACCATTTTATCATAGGTTTTGCATCGCCTTTCACGTCATATGTGGAGCATTAGAAGGAAAGCTGTGAGCTACCATCTATAATCGACATACTTACAGATACACATACTCCTCGGCTACCACAAACCGCTTATCCTGGAAGGGCCCAAATAATTTTCAGGTCAAGAGTAAGCAAGGCCCTCACACTAGATATACCCGCGGATGGATCGAGTGTACAGAAGATAGAATGATTCGGGGGGGCCCTCAAACGTACACCTTGGGTAGATGGCCCTGTGAGGTCGACGTGGATTTTGCAGTCTATCAGGACCCTCATAAGAGATCTTTGAGATGGAGATATTGTCAAGGTGTCCTGTTGTTTGGGTTTCCTTTGCCTGGACATAAGTTCATCATCCCTCGATGACTCATGATTAATGTGTGTATCTGACACAACTATCGAGGGGTAGGGATGTATCACTGGACATTGTGTCTCGGTACAAGATTGTTTCGCGTTTGATTATCATATTTAACCTCGAAGAGTGTTCAGGACGGCCAGACGAAGAAACATCCCCAAACATACGTTTTCCCAAGGTGCAAGTCGCCTCGACTACTGGGGCGAGACGGAGGTACGGAGGGAAGGTGTGGTCTGCACTGGTCGGCCGGACATCGCCTTTCACCTCGATGGAGAGTGGCGGTCCGTGCGCCCAGAAGCGATGGCTTAATCCTTTCGACGCCTTCTAAATGACAACCTTTCAGCACGAACATGACACTGCCTCTTACTGTGTATTTAGAGAGAAGCTATTTGAAGCTTCCATCACTTCTTCACTCTTCAATCCTATCACCATACTCATTGGTATTTCAGAACGCTACTCCTCCGACAACGTCAAACACTTGTGAGAACTTCCGCCATGTCCGATGAAACGTCGCAGCAATCAAAATCCACTGACTCGACGGAAGACGGGGAAAGTACCGGATTTGACGATCAGAACAACTCAAACCCTGGAGACAGGCCCACGTCCACCCGACGTACGAGTGATTCATGTCCGGTGATATTTTCAAGGTACATTCGCCCGCGAGTGAACTTCGCGCGCTTGCCCGACGGATCCATAGCACGCATAAGCTTCACGGAGGTTGTGGTATGTTACTTGGCAGAAGATTGCGGAGCTGAATTACAGTCAATCTTCCAGTTTTCCGATCGTCACAGACGTGTATCTTCCCTTCTCCTATGGGGATGGACAGCCCCCTCTTTTCGCCGCATCACCATAAAAGACATGCTTACCAACCATCATGGGCCAGGTCCGTGGCGTTTGAACGATAGGAAGTCCTTCTCACGCCGAACTTACTTGCGTACCTTGAGAGGCCAGGATATCTCAAAAAGAAGACCTGCCCATTCACACGACGCCGAGACAGGAGAAACACTGACAGATAACCGTGTTGAGACTCCCCCAAGTAGCCCAGAAGCCAATGAATCGTCGACCCGGGAATCTATGGTAGGAGAAACTGTCACAACTGCGTCTCCGGAAACCAATCCAGCTCAAGGCACACCAGACGATGAGTCTGAGGCTGCCCGATTGCAGCAAATCTCGGAAGAGACACATGACGTCGACGAAGATCCGCAATGACTGACTTGAAAGAATGAGGAGAATGATGGTCGAGCTTCAATTCTAACCATTCTTGCTTTTGCTTATAATATTGTTACGGGGTAACAACGATTCAAGACAACTCCATCGAGTTTGGCGCATTAGGATAGAGGAAAGCGGGAGCTAGAAGCAGTGCTGCATTAAGCAGGGACGGGTTTTCCCCTTTCGAGATTTTCCCCACTGGGTTTGTTCAAAATGGTTTTTCACCTGTCCGAGTATGTATATAGACGCTTGCAGCGGGGTAGAGGACGAGGGCACGGATACCTGTAGACAGTATATAGTACAATCAGCAAAGTACCATCTTTGCTGATTCTTCAATATCATTCTTTGGCTACATCGATTGCAGAGGAGACGCGACCCATTCACACCAGAGACACCTCGATTTCTACGAGAGTCCCATGGGAGTTCGACCCAACCTGCGACCTAGTCATCGTGTTTCCAGTGTGTTACAAATATGTACTCATATCTTCATGATGAGACTCTCCTTCTGTCAGGAGCTTTCTCAAGTCATCAGGACCACTACCCCACTCACCTTTGCCATCACTTCCATCACCTTTTGAATGCCGTACCACTCGTGTTCAACGGTTGTTTCCTTCCGTACACTGAGGCAATCTATCATTTCACCGGTGTGAGCAGGATTGTTCAGGGACAGATTTGAGCTTGGCTGCAGTACTGTTTCTCAGTCCCCGCCCGCATGAGATTATGCACAGTCTCTCTCTCTTCAAGAGCGTCCATTTGGTATCTGAGATTCACTTGACTGGGTACACCCATTACAATTTGAGCTGGCACCTTCTTATCCATCTCAACAGGAGCTTTCAGTAGGTGTTCATTTCATGTACAAGGATTATAAGAAGAGTTGTGTGATGCCTTTGTATTGATATGAATAGGTTCCCATGACTCTGAGTTCATGTCAGGATCACGGATACCGAGGACGGGTTTCTCAGAGTCATACTCCTTTCCCATCGTTCCCCTCTCCGCTTCATTGTTCCCGTCGCCTCTTCACCAATTCCATTACGGGCTTCCCCAGTTCTCCTTTTGACCCTGGTCGCTAAATCACACCACATGATACTTTCCCTTCATCTCAGTGTCCCTTATCTATCTCCTTTTTTCTTTTGCTCTTCTACCTCATATGATGTTCAATCTTGACTCCATAGATTTTGGTATCACTCTGTTTCCTCTTTACTATACAGAGACAGACACTTTTTGTATACATCTTCTTAAATGTATTTTCTTGTCAATCAGTAAATCTTTTGCCATTCAATCCCTAAAGACTCTCTTTGGCTTTGATCTTCAACAACACTAGACTACATACTACATCACTGTTTGCTGATAATTAGATGATAAAACAGACGGGGAAAATGCTTGCTTATAATTAGATGATAATACAGAGGGGAAAAAGAGCATGCATCAAATCTACATGTCTCTAAACTTATCACATTCCACTCACTCGCATTAAACCAGAGACGATCGAATAAAGTTCAGAGGATAAGTTGAACGGGGAAATATTCGACGGAAGGGGTAATTCTAACGGCGGTTCGGCCGTCCTGGCCCGATTCTATCGGCTTACAAAAAAGAGCATGCATCAATTCTACATGAATCTATACTTATCACATTCCACTCACACGCAGCAAACCAGAGACGATCGAATAGAGTTCAGAGGATAAGTTGAATGGAGAAGTATTCGACGGAAGGGGTAATTATCTAACGGCGGTTCGGCCGTCCTGGCCCAAATCTTTCGGCTAACAATTGACCTATAAACCTTCCCTTTCATTCATCTTGCCCCATCTTTCTCAAAATCCCTTCCTCCTATTTGGTTTCCTTCATCTCCATCCATCTCATCGTTCCCCAGGGACTGTTGAAGGTGATAATGACCGAGAGTTCCAGCTCCAATAGGAGGACGGGAAATCAAAACACGAATGCTGCTAACTGGCGGGTGACTCCCAATTCACAGCTAGCCTCAATACTGGGGCTGCACTTACCTCACCGGTTGATGCTGAGCGCAACTCTATGCACTACTCGTCAGGTACAGTGCACACATGTGAGTCCTTGGATTCGAACCGAGCAAGAATTTCTATGGACAGTCGTGAGTTATTTTCAACTCCCCAAGCTTAGGAAGAGGAAATAACTCCTAGTGGGACATGCAAATAATTGACGCCAATGACCGTATCATCAATGGAAATCGGATCGCCATTCCTCATGTCCTTGGAGGGCATCATGAATTTCGTCCGACCCGAGACACCTCAGTGACCCAGCTATGTGATATAGTAGAGCTTGGCTCAAGAAGCAGCTCCTTGGGTTACCGAGAGTACCTGTCCCCTAATGTGTTCCGTAGAATTCGGGCAATCCAGGGTCGTAGAGCTCTCGAAAGGGCGGGAATTCCTGTTCCCAGACGCACTCCACAAACAAAAGGTGTTTCGAGTTCAGTCTCAAACAGTTCTTTGATGACACCAAGGTCGCCCACAGGAAGTGGGGTTGAGATAGTGACAGACGGCCAAGATGACAGCAGAGATACGGTTCCACCTACTGTAGACACGGAAGAGGCTGAGGAGACGCCAAATGAGATAAGTACTGACCCTAAACACTCTAGTTGTTAACAGCTATGCAAAAGTGGGAATTCCCAATTGCACCCGTGTTGGTTGTCCTATTGTCTCTTGATAGAATTGCTCGGACTATGAGCAGCTCTGGTACCTACTGTAGTGACGGATACCTGGGAGTCTTAGATCACATCGATGTCCCATCTCATTATCACTTTGGACATTTTCCATTCTCATACAACCCCTAACTTACCCGCATACCTCGTTCACTTTTCCACGTCTCCGTGTCTGCTTATGCATCAAGTTTTGGCTTTGTTCTTTCACCTTTTTTTTTGCTATCCGTTGATGTATCCTCACGTCATTATCACTCCAATCTCTTTTACTATATAGAAGTAGATCTTTCTCAAGGACGTCTTGTCACATGTTTCGTGTTCTCTTGCTTACATCTCTTTTTGATCTAGAGCTTTCTTTGACACCCTACATCGCTAGAACTGCTGCCAACAAAGTTTTTCGGTTCAAGCTCATTGATGCAGGTTATTGCTACGTCTGATCCTGATCGAATTCGGACCCACTGAAAGAGACAGAGCCACATCTCGTCTACTCACTCACGTCTTTCTTCCTGAACGTCTTGACCACTGGATATGAAGGGAAGGGAGGTGTTATAAGCTGGCACGGTCGCTCTGGTAGTGCAATATAGCGAAGGGCCAACGTAAGAATGGTAGAGAGGAGAGGAGAGGAGAGGAGAGGAGAGGAGAGGAGAGGAGAGGAGAGGAGAGGAGAGGAGAGGAGAGGAGAGGAGAGGAGAGGAGAGGAGAGGAGAGGCGGTGGGTGAATGGAGGGTGGGACCGTGCGACTCCTGCCGTACATCGACTCGGGTCCCCTCTTTCTTTTCTGCTCTCACACGAGGAAGGCTTTTCTCAAGTTTGCTTCTGGCTTCCACCTCCACCTCTTTCTCCCAAGTGGGGAAACTCTTGTGGTCCGCGCCCACGCCTCTCCTTTCATTCCGTTCCGGGGGTCTGGGCCAGCGGCGAGCATGCTTCTATTTTGATGTGAACGTGTAAATGGTAAACAGCCGTGTATTTTCCCATATAAGCATTTTGTTGAATCAACTACTCTTCCCATCTTATTCAATACTACTTGCATCTCCATACAGGTAAACAACTCGAATTAATTACAACATGACAATCCGCCCCAGCACTGCCGTGGATTCGCCCAGCTCCCAGACGGGCATAGAGGGATCGTCACCTCAGTCTGGCATCTCCACAAACGATAGGCGGGAAAACAGGAGGGATACCATATCGGTTTTCCCGGACGATCGATATTTTCACGTGTCCAAGTTCGCTACAGTCACCCAGCTGACGGACACGCACACTGGACACACCGCTCGCATAACCGAAACGTTAGTCCATGTGAGTAGATTTGTCCCCAATTGGTACCATTCACTGAGGAATAGCTTGCAGAATTCAGGCCGGGTACAAGTGAGGCGATCTGGGTAGCCACCCTACCGATACATCTGGATGACGACCTGTCTATCACGCCGATGAAATCTATAACCGATTATCCCGAGGTACCCTCTCAGGAGAGTTTTGGTCCGGACTCGGAAGAACCCGTTCGAATAGTAAAGCTCATATTTGAAGAGGGCTGGTTCTACAGGAAAGGGTGTTCATTGAGTGAGGTACTTACTCAGGAAACAGTTACAAGAATGCGGAGCTCTTCAGATAGGGTAGCCCGCCTTAAGAAGCGAATGTCTGAACAGAAAAGGATCGTCAGCAGTCTATAAACAGGGTACTAAGCTAAGACGGCTTCCCACAAAAAGAATTGATCTGTTTGTGGAAGGGTATAATGTAGGGTACATGTAAGGACCAGACGTCGGAATAGTCTGCGTCGATGAGCTGTGACAATGAGGCCTTGTAGGGAACAAACCTAGTGATGTAGTGTATCGAAGAGATCTGTAAGATCGATGAGGTGTATGTCAAATGATATAACTAGGAAAACACAAAATACATTCGACAAGACATTGCTGAGAAAAGACTACGTCTATATACTAAAAAGAGAGCGGGATGATACCGATAAGAGCATGCGTAGTTTGGAATGAAGTCGAGGTAGAATAGGAGAGGAAGAGCGATGATAGTTAACGAGACGGAGATGTAAAAAAGGGTAGAGGTGTCGAAGGAATGGTACCAGGCGTAGTAGCAAACGGAGTAAGCCCGGACGCGGGAATGGAGACCGGGACGGGAATGGAAAAAGAGTACGACTACATGGTAAGGTACCCGTGGTACCGCGTGATCCTGACAGTACATGCACATCAATGGGTCGCTTACAAGTTGGAACGCTAGATGCAGAAATGCACACATATCTTGCGGTACTAGACCCAATCCTTCGTTCAACCACAGATACAGACGGGTGTCGCGTATTGAGTTAAGCTAGGGGAGGTGATATCGCGCGTTCAGGCAATATATCATGGCACCATTGCTTCTCCAGCAAAATAGAGGGAAGAAGACCCACCTTTCCAAAGTTGCACTGGAATCTGTCTGCTGTGGTTCACAAAATATGGAAGACCTCACTGAGGTGAATGACCTCTTAACAGGGGTCGTACAAGATACCACGTTGAGATGAGGTCACCTGCACAAACCGTCTGCGATTGAGGCGTCGGATGCTCAAGCTTACATACCTCGAGGATCCTTAATGTACCGAGATCCTTGCTTAGGATAAACATGTGAGGCCCAAGAAGAACTTCAATGGACGTCATAATCCCGTACGTTATGCCTGTGCTACCTACGCTTGATCTACAAGCTAGAGACCTAGGACGATCTTCGAAGGCTGATAGGGTCTACCGACTGCTTGTGTTCCTCTCCTATGGAGTAAAATGGAAGAACGGAGGGCAATGTACTCACAACACGTACAACTAAAAGTTATCGACGGGGTTGAGCTCTCGTCCTCCCCCGCACCAACTCTATTCTCACCTTCTGAGGAGACTGGGGCTGAGAATCTTACTAGAAAGGCTTGTCCCTTTGTCAATGGGAGAGATTCATCTTAAGACTACATGCACTGCCTTCAAGTCCACTCTACACTCCCTTGTGCTGGGTGTGAATGCGCCCAGGGTGAGAAACTGAGTTGGAAAGAGAAGCAGTGCTCCTCTTTCCCCTTCATTCCCTCTTACACATAACTCTAAGTCTTTAGCCCATTCTCTTTCCTGCAACAATTGGCAACCAACATCGACATCGTAATTTAATAATTCATCATCCCCAGGGAACCCCATAATCCAGCTCAGAATGTTGAAGGAATCCGGGCATGATACGTCCGAAGATCCTCAGATGATGAGATCCATTCTATCTGGTGAGACCGTTTTTGTACGTGTCACGCTCACCTGGCAAATCGTTGCCCGAAGCTACTACCCTTTCGGATGGTATGGACATGAAACACGTGGAGTAAGTATCAATGTTTGAAGTCCTGTTGATCAGGCAGGTGCTTGTTACAGTAGGAGCTTCGCCAGCCTCGCCCTCTGCCACATTGGTCAAGTTTGACTATGAAACTCTCACATACTATTATGGTAGCTACGATGATGTTATCAAACTTAAGAAGGACAGAAGTCCTGACGAGATTTGCAAGGGACCTCTGCAAAGACTAGAGTATTCGTTCTTTGTCTTGTCCCAAAAAACCATGGAACGTATTTCTCAAGCTCGTTCAAATCCTACCATGGGCAGAGCATACCACAGATACCAAGAACGAAAGGAGAGAGTGCGCAACTCGGTTGTCTTCTCCATGTCGCTACGTCCCATATCTCACAGAAGTCATTCAACTTTGGGCCCTAACGTTATTGTAGATGATGTAGACGCCATTCAGGTCAGTACTATACTGTCATAATCTTCCCTGTGCAGTTGCTGAGCTGACTGCTTGCAGATAAAGCTCTATATTGCCCCATTCTTCCCCAGTCACACAGAGACTCAAGGTGTCACTTGGTTTGATGGTGTCTTGACTTACAGACAGAGGCGGCGAAGCTTACATTGGTCGAGTCGGGAGCTCGGAATTTATCCCGACAGGCAAGACGGTACCAGAGGACCTCCGGCCTCAATAAGGACTGTCATCATCCAGTCATTGGATGATATTTTTGCTCCACTTCCTGTCAACCAACAGTCAAATGCACCAAATACCCGACACAGCCCATCGATGAGCTCCCATCGACCCGACCGTCCGTATATGGTTCTGCCATCAGCAGTGGTAGATAGAATCATTCGTGGAAGACGATTGTTACAGAGCAATGCTTTGAGGTCAAAGAACAAAGTGAAGACAAGTGATGCGGCGCCCTCAGCGTGCCCCAGAAAGGCATTTTGTGATGAGAGAAACTCGACAATCCTTTCAATGCCATTCCTTTCTCCTGAGAATCCTCTCTGGGGTTCTGCCAGACGGACCCCTGGAGTGGTGAAATCACAGCACAAAAACATGAGCAGTTGGGCTCAATCACTGCCTGGCAGAGCTAGCTGCTGGAACATGGTAAATACCCCTGGTCTGCAGTGGGATTTCTATGGCTCGATGACGGAGGACGCACAGTCCATCATCGATCTATATCGACAAACTGAAGCTGGCGCCAAGCTGAATGGGGTGGCAATAACACCAGATAGACTCCCTGATGCCTTTGTCAGACTGGGAAGAGGTACACGTTTCACTGGTGCAGAGACTATGCTCCCCGAACTCTGGGCGGTCCGTAGCACTATCAAGGCTCCCCAAGAGTCATTGTCGCTCGATGATCCCAATAACAGCAGTCCCACCCCTGAGCCAGTGGAGGAAACCCCTTTCCATTCGTCTCACAATGAAGACTCTACTGGGTCAGACAGGGGAGAGGAAGAGAAGTAGGGATAGTGAGTACTAAGTAACAGATTAAGATGTGTTCATATTTTAGTAAAGTAGAATGAGCTATAGTAGGATGACGCCAGAGTGGGTACGAACAAACCGAGGACGGTCCTTTCAAACCTTCTCCGGGACAACGTGTCGGGAGTGGTTGACCTGAATCAATCTATATACCTATGTCTATGCATATTCACTTGGTCACGAGCCGAAAGTGAAAATACGATAGTTTCTTGGTGAGACATGATTGATTAACGCGTATCACCTCCTCTTATCAACGGACGAATTCTGCGGCAGTGTGTGAGTCCTAACCAGTAAAATAGCTTGTTTCCATGGGGGACACCGTGGACATTGGGAGGTGACACAGTGCTGACACGGATCTATTAGGGACCCAGCCGGAGACGTTCCACTCCGGTGTCACACGGTTCAAAGCTTCCCTCTTGGACCCAGCTGAAGAGTGTCAGGATCTCGGGTTCCTGTAGGCGGGTTCCTCCGAGTCGTACGCACAAGTCGTATTCCACCTACCCGTTCCCATCTCCGCTTCACTGATCCCGCTACAGCATCGTCCGTTCCCCTTTCCTACCTGATTGCTATTCTCTTATCTTGCTATACTTTTCCTTCATCTCCGTGTCCCTCATCTATCTCCGTCTTCCTTCGCTCTTACACCCCATATTATTTTCCATCTTTACTCCGTAGATTTTGGTATCACTCCGCTCCCTTTTTAGTATATAGAAACATCCTTTTTTCGCGAATGTCTTGTTGAATGTATTTTCTCGTCACTTAGCAACTCCTTTGCCACTTGATCTCATCAACTTATAGTCTCTTCAATCCATTACATCACTAGACTATAAACTACATCACTAGCTCTGTTCCCTACGAGGCCCCATAGCCATAGCTCAGAGACGCAGACTATTTTCAACGTCTGGTCCTGACAGAGAGCCATGCAGCTCCGGAGGTGTCCAGTCGCTGGTGGAGACTATTACACATATTTGTCTTGTAATGTTGATCGCTCAATGGTGAGTCACATCACTCCACTCTTCAAAGTACTCGTGGCTACCCTGTCATTACTCATACTGTATGCATGTCTCTAGGCTCTTCCTAAGCTTCCATTGGAATGCTTCCTTTTGTGGTCATGACAGGAGAGACGTTGGGGGTGAATGTATCATTGTCACGAACCACATCGTAACATCCCTGACAACCACCATCACCGACCCTCCTTTCACCATCACCAACTACCACCGGAACCACTGAGACCGACTACGGCGAAGTTACGAGAACCAAGAGGGTATTTGTCACGATAACCCCGCCTAGGGGAGAACTACGGCGAAGTTAGGGGAAGGGAACCGAGGGAGAGCAGAACAGGGGAAGTTAGGTGAAGTTAGTCGAAGTGAGCGGAGTAGGACATCGGGGATATGGCAAGGTACAGCGAAGTTGAACGAAGAGGACTGAGCGTGGGGCAGTGCGAGAGTTGAGGGACGTTCTCAGAGAAGAGAGGGCAGTATAGATAGTTTACAGATCGCTGAACTTCTTCAGCGATCCTTGATTGTTGTCAGTAGCGAGCGATATATTCAGTAGCTACAACCTTCGAGTTAAGGAGAGCTACCAGCGAGCAGTTCGACGTACCACGGCGAAGTTAGCCGCAGTTCATCAACGATCATCTTATCATTTACCACTCGACGTATTACTACGGCGAAGTTAGCCGTAGTTCCCCCGACGAGTACCCTGTCCTAGTGAGACACCGACGCCCCACTACGACGTAGTTAGCCGAGGTTTGTCGACCGTCGGTCAGTAGAGGAGAAGAAACGACGATTGTGACAATCATGCAATCACATTGTCTCAAACCTCTTCAAGATCCTCGAGATGTTGGCTTACCTTCAAATATCAGTAGATTGCTGACTGAAGGTAGAAGAACTGCAAAAATTGTGACTTCTTTATGATGTACACCCCATAACTCCGGCTGGGTCTGCTAGAGCGTCATGCACCTCCAGAGGGGAATGTCTCTGGCTGTGTCTGATGAGGTCCGTGCCGCTCTGGAGGGGTCCATCTCCGGCTGTGTCCCTAACAGATCCATGCCTCACTGTCAGGATCATGGGTACCTGGTCACAGGAGTGTAGTAGTCCTACTTCTTTTCCATTACCATGTCCTCTCCTACTACCCCTATTCCGTTTTCTCACACCACATGATACTTTTCCTCGATCCCTGTGTCTCATATCGATCTCCGTCTTACTTCGCTCTTCTACCCCATATCCATTTCCATCTTTACTCCGTTACATTGGTATCACCCCGTTCCCCTTTCTCTATATAGATGCAGTCTATTTCCATAGTCCCCTTGTCGAATGTATTTTGTGTTCTTTAGTATTATCTTTTGCCACTCGATCTCAATAACCTTTCAGGTCTATTAGATCTTCTACATCAATAGGTTTGTCCCCTACGAGGCCTCTACAGCCATAGCACAAGTGACGCAGACTATCTACAACGTCTGGTCCTGACACTCACACCCACCCCCACTTTGAAGTCGCCGAGTTGCCGAGTCGCCATACTGCCACACTGCCACACTGCCACACTGACTTCCTGTTTGTTGATCGTACCGCCACCCCAAGTCATAGGTAAACTCCGAGAAACTCTGTCGCGTGATCAAACTTTCAGTTGTCTCTCTCTTTTATGCATCCTCTCTCGTCTCACCAACCAACAGATCAACAGTCGAACTCTATCACTGTTGCTGTATATAGGAGTCAATCACATATCACTGTGGAACTGGTGAGAGTCAGGGCACCCAAACCGTACCCCGCGCTGTTCTGGTGAAGCCGTGATGGGTGGTGGGCCGAGAGGGGATTGCGTGTGTTATCGACGATCAACTATCGGTTATGGACTATAGACGATCAACTATCGGTTATGGACTATAGACTATTGTGTTTCTCAATAGGAGGGAATATTAAGGGAGCGTACAGTACTGGGTTAGTACTGGTACGGTACATCTAGACGGAGGAGAATAGATAAGAAGCAGGCGGGAAAGTGCGTAATTGGTTGGATAGTAGAGACGAAGGACAGCTGTAAGTTTACTGCAGTGGAGACGTCTTTGAGACGCATACCTACGGGCTTGCCGGTAGAAGGAAATCCAGTCCAACCTGGTGGCGGGTTACTACGCTGTAGTACTTGCCTAGCGCACAATAAGTCTTTCTTGAGAGTCAATTTTTGATCTAGAAGACAAAGCTCACGTACATCAAAATGAGCGAATACACGGGAACCACACTTGATACCATTCCCATTCTTTCCAGTGCCCACGGCTACTATGTGTGGAGTACCCAAGCCCGACTTCACCTCACCATCGTCAGGTGCATTGGCATCATCAAAGGTACCGACCTTGAACCATATTGTGCTTTCTTGGTTGCAAGGTACATGAGGGCGGGGTCTATGCCGCCCAGGGAGGATGAGATGGATGGTCCCAGGATATTGGGGACAGACGAGATGATGAGGTGGGATGAATGAAGAAAGGGGGAGATTAGGGCCCAAGGCGTCATCCAAGCTAGGGTGGATAGGGGACTCTTGATGGAGATTCAAGAGCTATCTACAGCGAAGGAGATGTGGGATTGGCTGGAGTACGACATGAAGATAAGTACTCCTCAACATCGTTCAGCCATAGAAAGAAAGCTTTGTACCTTATTCCTCCCGTCCAGTTCCTCTGTCGACAATCTTGTCAAACATCTCACCACCTTCAACTCCTTATCCTTTGAAGCCTAGCACACTGGCTGCGGGTTCTCTGATAATATTTGTGTTCAACTATTCCTTGATTCTCTCACTCGTGCTAGCGACTTCGACATTGCTCTTCGTATCTTCCAACAACCACCCGGCTACCTTCATACATGGGATAACGTCAGGAAGATGTACCAAGGAGAGATAGCTCGAAGGGAAGCAAGGGGAGAAGGTGATGTAGTTAGAGAGGTGAATGCAGCGATGCAGAAGGTTTCCCTGGAGCATGGTGCAAAGGGGAAGGGAAAACCTGGGTTTAAGGAAAAAAAAAGGATGTGTGGGTGGTAAAGATAGTAGGGTTAAAGGTGATAAGGAAGGACCTAAGTGTTGGAACTGTGGGCAAGGTGGACATATGAAGAAATATTGTCCAAAGAAGGAGGATGAAGACGAGGGAAAGGTGAAGGGTAAAGGGAAGTGGGAAAGACAAGCTTGGGAAGCAAGATTGGAAGACTTTGAAATAGGAGCTATCGGCAAAGACAATTCGTCGACACCTTCTTCCATTCCTGAATTCCTTGTTGATAGCGGATGTACCCACCATGTCTCCCCTTACATCCACTTATTCACCAACCCCAAGAAACTTACCTCACCTGCTCACTTCTCAGTTCCTAACGGTGGTAAAATCGTCGCCCTCAGCAACAAGGAACTATCTTTCAGCGTATACCCTGATAGATAAGGGGTGAAAGGTTGACCTCCATGACTTGGTTTTGTCAAGAAACGGCTTGATCCTGTCCAAATGGGGATTGTTCACCACAATCCATCTCAACCAGAAGGCTTTGATATACCTCAAGTGATTGAAATCAAAGCTAGAACAAGTCTTCTGGAAGAGGAACATGAACAACTAGGACATATTCGTTGTGAGAAACTCCTGAAGCTAGCAGGTGATGGACTGCTACGTTATTTGAGGGAGCAGCTGGAAAAGGATACGTTCAGGCTGGAGGAATGCGACGCTTGTCAAGGTCACAGGGCAACAAGGTCACCCAAGGGGAAAGAAAGTCCCAGGGGGAAGGCAGATGCAGAGACGGTTCATGTCGATCTGGCCAGTCCTTTTGACCCATCCATTGGTGGAAATCGACATTATTTGGCGATGATTGATGACTATTAAAGAATAGCATCTGTAGTACCTCTGCCTAACAAGCAGAACGTATTGGTTCACCTGGAAGGTTTTGTCAACAAGTTGGAAAGACAGACGGGAGTGTCATACATCACCTACTTGCCACCTAAGATAGTCTTTTCCCGTGTTCCCACACTTGAAACACATCTGGAACACTTCCCCTGACCCCCTTTGGCTTAGGTTTATTGTTCTTGATCTCCATCAACAATCCCTATTGTCATCTCTTACACTCCCACACTTGAAACACCTACCCCTGAACCCCTGTGCTCTTAATCTATTGTTCCCCTTTGTGTTCACATGCTTGACACACTTACCCCTGGACTCCTGTGTCCTCTGTCTATTGTTCCTTGTCGCACCCATGAACCTGTAACAGTTACCCCTGGACCCCTGGGTCCTTTGCCTATTGTTCTCAGTTTCACATGTCAGGATTGCCAATTCTCTTGAAGAGAATTGCAAATATGTTTAGCAGTTCTTCCGTAGCTTATTGTTGTAGTTTTGCAGTTCAGCCTGTTTTGCTGTGGATATAAACCCCCTCCAAACAGGTTGTTCCCCACCTATGAATCTCTTGTTGAATCTCATTCTCAACTTGTCAGTCCAGTCAGATCCAGCCTGACATCTTGCAGTTCCCTCAGTTCCCTCAGTCCCTTGTCAACCTCTGTATACTCCTCAAGCTCTACGAGCCCGAGACAAGTATTGGGTTACAGCCCCATCTCAGTCACCTTGCTTACCCTTTGGGGATAAGACCCCGCCCGTGACAGGGAGGGAAGGTACGGTTTATTAGAAGTGATGGTGGATTGGAATTTGCCAGTGGACCAGCGGGTGCTTGGTACCACAAGACAAGAATTCTCCATCAAGTTACTCCTAGGTACACTCCTGAGCTGAATGGAGTAGTGGAAAGGTTCAATAGAGCTCTCAAAGAGATGACTAGAGCTATGTTGGCGTCAGCCAATTTGAACAACAACTACTGGGATTGGGCGGTGAAATACGCCTGTTATCTTTTCATGGAGACAACCCGGGGTGAGGATGGTATCAATGCATGGATGAAGTATACGGGCAGAGACCCGCATCTCAAACATGCTCTGATGTTTGGGGAGCTGGTGTTTGTTCAGATTCCCGGGGAGGTACGAGGAAAGTCAAGGTTAGATATTGACGAGGGAGAATTGGGAAGAGTCGTAGGAATGGAGCCAGCAAAGAGTGATTGGTATGTGAGGATGGAGAGTGATGGAAAGATGCTTTTCAGCAGGGACGTCAAGAGTGCTTCAGGTCACCCCTTAACTCCAGAGAAGACGATCACACCTGTTACTCCTCCCACGGCCTCAGTATCCAATCCTCCTCCACGTCCTATTACGACTTTACCGGCAACACTTCCTTCCTCAGGAATGTCACCTCCTGTACGACCAGCTCAGGTTGTGACTGAACCTCTGGAAGAAGAACCAGAATCAGTGAGTGTGAGGGAGAACAGTGGAGCGACAGAGCAGAGGTATGACAATGGTGTGGAAGGACAGAGGGAGACAGGGAATGATGTTCAAGTTACTCAAGAACCAACAATTCCCACGGCAGATCCTCTTCCAACACCTGATCCTCCTGCTCCTACAATTACTCCTGCACCGCCACCTCCTCCACCTGTACTTCCTACCCGACGTAGTGCTCGAATTGCTGGTGAAGTACCATATCAAGCAAACCTTCTGGAGAAATGGTATAGCAATACGACAAGAGCATCTGCTATGGCGTCAGAGATGGGTATGGAAGAAGCAAATTTGTCACCGTCTGATGGACCACAGACTGCTGGAGAAGCTTTGACTAGCAAGGATAAAGACGACTGGAAGAAAGCTATGCTCCGGGAACTTGACAATATTGAGTCAAAAGGAACATGGGAAGAAGCTTTTCTTCCACCAGGTCGTAAAGCTATAGCGTCAAGATGGGTCTTCAACATCAAGAGAGACGCTGATGGTCAAATCGTCAAACACAAGGCAAGAGTCGTAGCAAAAGGTTTCTCTCAACAACCTGGAATTGATTATGAACAAATGTATGCTCCAGTGAGTAGAATGACAAGTCTTCGACTACTTCTCACACTTGCGGCTACATTTGATTTGGAACTACGACAAGCTGATGTTGAGGGAGCTTATCTCAATGGTGTACTTGACGAGGAGATTCACATGGAACATCCTGAAGCCATGGTACGACAACGCAGTGGGACAGTACTGTGATTGAAGAGGTCGTTGTATGGGTTGAAACAATCAGCCAGGGTATGGTGGTTGGGACTTGGGAAAGCGTTGGAGGAACAGGGTTTCGGAAGGACTGAGGGAGACTGGGGAATGTACGTCCGACCAGCAGGAAAATACGGTGGACTGGTGATTCTCCTGGCGTATGTTGGTGACCTGGTCATGACTGCGCAGACAAATAAGGAGATTGATGGGGTAATGGAGAAGCTGAGGAGGAAATGGGTAATGACGGAAATGGGAGAAATGAAGCAGATTCTGGGTCTCAAGGTTACACAAGATCGTTTGAAGAGAAGAATCCATCTTTCTCAACCAGCGTACATCGATAAAGTCGCTTCTCAATTTCCGGGTCATTCACAACATTATCCAATGACAGCTCCTCTCCCCACTCAACATCACAATGAGCCAGCAGTTAGTGAAACTGATGAACTCACACCTTTTTCCCCTTTCCAAGCCGCTATTGGAAGCTTGATGTGGACATCGGCATGTACTCGGCCAGACATCAGCTTTGCAACAAACTTTCTAGCACGGTTTAGTGCTGCTCCCCTGGAAACTCATTGGCAACTTGCTTTACAAATAGTTGCTTATCTTCTCAAGACACGAGAATATGGTTTAGCTCTTGGTGGAGAAGTGGGGAAAGGATTAGAAGGTTGGGTGGACACTGACTTTGCGGGATGTAAAGTGACACGGAGATCTACTACGGGATATATCTTCAAGCTCTGCAATTCAGTGATTAGTTGGATGTCATAACGACAAGGTGCAGTCACTACTTCAACGTTAGAAGCAGAGTATGTGGCAATGGCAGAAGCAGCAAAAGAAGCGAGATGGTTAGCTGGGCTTGTGAAGGAACTGGTTAATTTGAAAGGAATAGTGACATTGAATTGTGACAATGAGGGTGCTTTAGCGCTTGCTAATAACCCAGGTATACATACTCGGACAAAACACATTAAGTATTGACATCATTTCATACGAGAACAAGTGTCAAACGGTCAGATTCAACTCGTCTATGTCCCAACCAATCATCAACAAGCAGATATTCTCACCAAAGCTTTGCCGGGTTAACGTCATTTGAAGGATATGGAGGATTTAAGAGTAGATGATAAAAGAGAAGGAACAAAAGGTAGTCAAGGGAGTTTAAAGGTTAGGACAGTGGGAAAGCCGTCTTAGGTAGTGAGCAGAGACTAGGTGATCATGGCAGAGGGAGTGTTGAGTGTACCACCACCACGATGTTTGCTGATAATTAGATGATAATACAGAGGGGGAAAAGAGCATGCATCAATTCTACATGTCTCTATACTTATCATATTCCACTCACACGCAGTAAAGCAGAGATGATCGAATAAAGTTCAGAGGATAAGTTGAACGGAGAAACAATCGGCGGAAGGGGTAATTATCTAACGGCGGTTTGGCCGTCCTGGCCCGATTCTATGGGCTAACACTCCCCCACGGGACAATGCACGACTCTGCAGTAGTCCCGGACAATTTATTGATGGCGACGGCGAGGTTTCTGATGATGTAGACGGTAGTAATGATGAAATATTGAGTGTTATTGTTACGGGGTAACAACGAATCGAGAGGACTCTATCGAGTTCGACGGATTAGGACAGAGGAAAGCGGGAGTTGGAGGCAGTGCTGCAGTAGGTAGGGACGGGTTTTCCCCTTTCGAGATTTCCCCACTGGGTTTGCTCAAAGCGGTTTTTCACCTGTCCGAGTATGTACGTAGACGCTTGCAGCAGGAAGGAGACGAGGACAAGGATAGCCGTAGACAGTATATAGTACAATCAGCAAAGTACCAACTTTGCTGATTCTTCAATATCATTCTTTGGCTACATCGATTGCAGAGGAGACACGATCCATTAGCACCAGAGCCCCTAGATTTCCACGAGACATCCATCGAGTTCGACCCAACCTGCGACCTAGTCGTCGTGTTTCCAGTACCGTTACAGTTATGTGTGTGGTAGTAGTGGTAGGTGAAATCGTGAATTGAAGTTCGGTGGGGCCCCGTACTGTGGGGCTCCGCTCTGACATGTGGTAACCACTCACTACTAACGACTCACTCCTCTCTATCTTTCCTTTTACTTCATCACTTTTACCTCCAATTAATGGTATGTCCACCTTTCGTCTTTCTCCACTTTTATCACTCATTTCTGACTCTCTGAACTTCCATCTATCCTGTCTAATTCTTAAAACTTCAGGTTTGGTGGTAGAATTCCAAGAATCAATGAATTTCCTTTGTGGTCCTGGCTGACAATATTTCATAGAATCGACACCCACCAAAAAACTTTTATTTTCATTAGAAATATCACTATGTCTTCGCCACTTCCAGGTGGTATCGATCCCTTGGTTCCTCTCATGAGGCCTGGTGAGGCTCATGGTACGTTCATTAGTCACTTTATCATGAAAATTATCTCTGACCTTCTGAATTGTCTGACCTCTCGGTCCGCACATTGGAGGCGGCATGTCGGCAGATCCGTTTCTTCCGAAGGTTGCTGGTATCTCTTTCGAACGCTAGACAGGGTGCATCTGCACCCTTCTTTGATATTCTATACGATTTTGAGAGGGCCTGTCAGCATGTGGAGAACTTGCTGGGATACATGATCTGTGATGATGTGGGGGAACAACTTCCTTAGGAAGTCAATTATGTATCCTCCCATCTTTCCTCTCTCTCATCTTTTCCTTCTTCTCCTTATTTCTCTTTCTTATCTCTCTAATGATTCTAGGTTCTATCGGTGGTTTCTGACCTATCTTGGAATTACTCACATTCTTAGGTACACCTGAAAATTTTACATTTTGGCTCACGAGAACTTTTCCTTCGGTGGTATCTTTTCTTCCTTCGGTGGGCTTCTCTGAAGTTCCTTCCACCCACACTTCTCTCTCTGGTATCACTTCGTTCTCTATTCCACCTGATAGATCTCCTAGATCCTCAAAATCAGAATAATCGGAATTGATAATTTCATCATCTAATGTCACATATACTGAACCAATGTTTTTCTTCTTCGGTGGTTCTATGCGTATCGCTGACATATTCACGGAATGTACTGGCCCACCTAAAGCCTTCGTGAGTACATCTGCTCTCTGAAAGACAGTGCTGACATATTCTAGTTCAATAACTTTATTACTGACTAGATCTCGAAGAGCATGATGTCAAATATCAATATGCTTTGTCCTCTGGTGGGTACCAGGTTTTCTCGCTAGGGATATCGATCCTTGATTATTGCAATTTAATATCGTAGGATTTAGCTGATCGTAGCCTATCTCCCTCAGTAATCCTCTCAACCACTGAGCTTCCTTTGCTGCTTCAGCCATCGCGATGTACTCTGCTTCAACTGTCAACGACGATACTGTAGCTTGTCTTTTTGAACTCCATGTTATTGCTAAGTCGTTCATCATAAAGATCCAGCCAGTTGTTGATCGTCGTGTGTCTTTACATCCTGCCCAATCCGAATCAACCCATCCTGCTAGATCGCTAGCCTCGCCACCTAGACAAATACCATGTAAACAAGTGGACCGAAGGTAGGTAATTACCATTATTCCTTCTTCCCATACTTTCTTCGTCCGTTTGGTGATGTACCTAGCAAGGTATGAGGCTGCATAGGATATATCTGGTCGAGTACATGTGGCTAACCACTGTAGACATCCTATTAATTCTTGAAATGGTTGAATTTCACTTTCCACTTCCGACATCGAAGGATTTTTTGCAGTAAGAGGTAATGGTGTTTTTCGGTCTCGGTGTAAGTCATTTTCAGGAAACTTCTGAACTATCTTATCAATGTACGCTGGTTGGTTTAACCATATCGTCTTTTCTTCTCTGTTCCTTGTGACCTTCATACCGAGAATGGTACTTAGCTCCCCCAGGTCGGTTATTATCCACCTTTTCCCTAGCCCATCGAAAATTTCCTTGGCTTCTTCCTTCAATTTTGTGGCTGATACTAGATCATCGACATAGGCTAGCAGTATTGCTGCTCTCTTTCCTTTGATTTTCCCTTCTGGTCTATAGTAAAGACCCCAATCTGACTTGATTCTTGAAAAACCTAGGTGAGATAATCCTTCCCCGAGTTCTATCCACCATGTTCTACCCGATTGCTTTAAACCGTAAAGAGACTTTATTAACTTCAAGGTATTACATCCAGGTTTCGGTTTTATCCCCTTGGGATATTTCATGTAAATTTTGACATCGAGTTTACCGTTTAAATACACCCCTTCGACATCGGCCTGACGAATTTCGAGATCTTCGGTTGCTGCTACAGTCAAGAGTATTCACAACGATCCCGATCTACCTACAGGTGCAAATGTTTCTTTGTAGTCGACACCTGGTATTTGTGAGATGTCAAGGATACTGCCCACCCTGGGACAGAGGACAAAGGACAAGGGGACAAGGACTATACTTAAGTTAACAAGACTGAGTCCAACAAGGAATGGGACTGTGACCCAAGGAATGTCTCTGGCTTGTCTTACAAGGTTATAAGGAACTGGACTGGACTGGACTGGACTCCAAAAGGATGGCAATGGAAATGACTTTTGATCAAGAACTAAAGAAGAAGTATGTAAAACTATGAGGGGTTTATATCTATAAAACAGGTGTTCTACCAGGTGGAGTCGTCCTGCGTAGGAAACCGTCGCAATCCTTGCCTTCCCTACTGTTTTCTAACTAACAGCAACTGACTGCGCCCTGTTCTCGCCGTGCTGCGTATAATACGCTGTTGACCGCACGCAGAAGTACGCATGACAACGTAAACCATACGTTCGCCTAAAATCTAACTATACTAAAGTCTTGGGTCTCATGCCATACCAGGCATCATAACTGAGAATAACATAACTAACTAAAGGTTCAGGTCTCTTGCCTCAAAGGCATCAGAGCAGAACTAAAACATGCGGAAACTGATACTTGTGATTCATGACATGAGAATCCTTCAGCTACTAGTCTGGATTTGTACTTTAGTAGGTTTCCTTCTAAATCTGTCTTCGCTTTGAATACCCATTTACATCCAATGGCTTTTCGTCCCGGTGGAAGTACCGTCTCCACCCATGTATCCTTAAATTCTATGTTGGATATCTCTTTCTCCATGGATTCTAACCATTTTTCACCATCTGGGCGGTTTACTGCTTCTTCAGGAGAGACAGGATCGATGAGAGAAGTGTCGCTTTCAATACCTGCGATAGAGGCGAGTGCGACTAACCTATTAGGCTCGCGACCAAATCCTAGGAATGAGTCTGTTAGGCCTGGAAAACGGTGGGGGGTCGATAATTCGTCCGTGACGTGTCGTCACGATCCCCTCGTCCCCATCATTTCTTCCTTCCTCATCATTTCTTTCATTTTCAATGATATCATTCTCATAGACCCAATTTCCTCCCCAGATGCCCTGTCCACGTCGTCTTTCAGTAGGTTGTGGACCTGTATTAGGTGAGTTGTCTCTCTCGACATCATTTCCTTGTTCATTATCGATATTTTCCTGTTCGCCACTTTCTGAGCGGTCGTCAGGGAAAATTTCTTCGTTGACAACGGGGTCTAGGTCCACTTCGATGGCATCGAGGCTGGTTTGGATGACATCTGGCGACTCTCTAGTAGCCACCATTCATCCTGTCGAGCGACGAACGTCTTGTGAGTGTTCGATCCGTCCCGATCCGTCCATTCTAACGATTCAACCGCTCACACCCTCATCCTGACCCAGTATAATGGCTGACGAACCCCTAGGTATCGTGAAGTTCGACTTCAACCTTATCTCCCTTGGTATCTGAACAAAACATCGTTCACCGAATCTCCACACGCTATCTAGGTTCGTGTCTCTTCCTGTGAGTGATGTCCAGCCTGATTTACCACTGACACCAATCGATGTTTTCATGATTATAATGGTGGCGTATCTGACAGCATAGGACCAATATTCGTTCGGTAGTCCTGAGTCAAACATCATCGTTGATACCATCCTCTTCAAGGTACGTATCATTCTCTCCGCCACTCCATTTAATTCTGGTGTGTATCTTTGTGTGATGTAGTGGTTGATCCCTGCTGACAGGTAGAATTCCCTCATATCGAGACTATCAAATTCACCTCCCCCATCAGACCTAATCACCCTCACCCTTTCACCAAGCTGTTTCTCTAATTTTGAAATACACTGTCGAACGATATCAGACGCTTCGTTCTTAGTCGTTATTGGTATAGCGAATACAATCCGACTCGCCCTTTCCACACCAACGAAGAAATATCGTTTGCCTTTTATCGCCGGACCGAACGGACCAATAATATCGACATCCATTCCTACTCCTTCACCATCTCCTTTTAACATTGGTGCTTCTTTATTCTTTGGTAGACGTGTTATCTTGGCCTGCATACAGGCGGGACATTTATCAGTCGTAAAGGGATCGTTCTTGTAAGTGTCCCAGTCCTTCTTCAATAGTCCCTGTCTACCTAGATTCTTTAGTTTATCTACACCTATATGTCCGAGTCGCTGATGTTCAGATTCAAGTGGTGAAGTCGCCTTCGGTGTAGATATCACGATCATCACGGCAGACATTGCTCTGCCGAATCGTACCGACCACAGTGAGTCATGTTTTCTCAAACCTAGTTTCTCTTTACCTTTACCTATCCATCCACCACTGCTGCTTAGATTCGCCTTCCACCCCCATGAGAGTAACTTCGAAAGGGAGAGAAGACTTATCTTTGCTGTGGGGACGTGATGTACATCTTTCAGTACCATTTTCTGTCCTGAATCTAGTTCGAGGTTAATGTCACCTGTTTCCCAAGCCGTCATTGACTTGCCAGATGCTAGTCCGAACACTCTCGGTTCCACTAGTCTTTTAATATTCGTCATTATTGACCTGTGAGGAGTTATGTGGTGAGTAGCACCACTATCCACCACCCAGGTGGGGATTACACGAGTGTGGCTTACGTCATTAGACTCTGTAGCTAAACCCACCCACTCATTATCCTCAACCCACGGGTTTTCAATTTCTTCAGGCCATACGATATTACTCGTGTACCCTTTGTCATCATCGAACCATGATTCTGTCGACATGGCCATTGCGGCCCATGCCTCATGTTCACCATCCAGTGATGAATATATCAAGGAGGTTTTGGAGTTATCCTTGGACTGGTTCTCATCCTTCGAGACTGTATGTCCTTTCTTATTATTCTTATTATTCCTCCATTTCTTTTTACCTCCATCCTTTCCATCTGTGTTTTCTTTCCTGTTCGTATCCTCTCTTTTAGGTTTACGACAGTACTTCGCTAGATGTCCTACAGTGTCACATTTATAACACTTTCTAGTTTCTTTTCTGGGCTGACCATCAGAGATATTATCTCGGTTCACCCTCATTCCTTTATCCATTTCGGCGAACATCGTGAATCCCTTTCTATTGGTCCTACCAACAGGGCGCGCTTTACGTCTCGCCGTTTCTGCATTAAAGATCGACAACACTTTGTCCCAGGTCCTGTCCTCTTCGGGTACGGACATTAGTTCTACGTGGATGATCCTGTATGCTGGTGCTAGGATGGTATTGAGGAATAGACCTGCTCGTTCCTGTGAGTCAAAGTTCAGTCCTACCAACTTCGCTTCAGCAATTGTCTTCGAGAAATCCTCTACATGCTTAGCCATCTCTTCGGCCGTCGCATCTTCCCTCAAGTCATAGCTAAACAATGCTTGACGGACGTTCCTCTGATTCTTGTTTGTGGCTGTTACGTGCATTTTCAAGCAGTAATCCCACATTTCTTTAGCTGACATCTTCTCAGATAAATCAAGCATTACAGCTTCCGTCACTGTTCCCTTGATCATCCCCTGCGCTTTATTCTCCCTCGCTTGCCACGTTTCCCACTCCTTCAACTCTTCTCCAGAGATCCTCCTACCAACCACTTGCCCGTCGACGAGCGCGGTAGGAGGTACTGATCCCGCCCTCTCAGTTGCCGGCCTAACCCCTTCGCGACCAGGTTCGGTATCATTACCTGAGACGACATTCCATACGTCGCCTATCTGTAGATACACCTCGATCGCCTTTCTCCACGAAGCATACGTTGATGGATCGTAGGATAACTTGGGGAGATTCTCAAACGAAATCTTAGTCGACACAGAGGTCATTATGAGAAGAGTAGAATAGGAACTTGCCTTAGTTATACACAGAGGTATGTGGACTTCCGACTGTTGATCTGTTTGCTGATAATTAGATGGTAATACAGAGGGGAAAAAGAGCATGCATCAATTCTACATGTCTCTATACTTATCACATTCCACTCACACGCAGTAAACCAGAGACGATTGAATAAAGTTCAGAGGATAAGTTGAACGGAGAAATATTCGACGGAAGGGGTAATTCTAACGGCGGTTCGGCCGTCCTGGCCCGATTCTATCGGCTAACAAAGATTACACAGACGGACTTTGACATTTGAGAAGAAAAGGAGAGAAAGCGCCTGTGGAGGGCCATCAATGTCCGCAACGGAGGAAGATTGGATAGAGAAGTTCTCTAAGAAGATTGTTTCAATGAAAAGACTATTTCCCAAAAGCCCGATTTGGGCTTCTGTGAAGCTGGCCGCTGCAATGGAAAAAACAATGAGACATGATCTTGTGTCAACAGCTCCAAGGCTGCCATACCCGGCTTCATGGAATATACAGTGGGGTGCGGGAAATGATGGCACCCGCGTCAAATCCGTGCGTCAGTATACCATCGTCTCTCATCCGTCATAACTCATGCATGAATGATTCTCATGATCTAAGAATTAGTGAGACTCTGGACAAGGGTCAGTTCTGCTCATACACCAAGAGAGAGACCAACCGGATCAATATTTGGTCACACCACCCCCAACTTTCCTAACTCCTTCCAATCTCTTTATCATACTGTCTATAGTCTTGTCGATTACTGCCTGTGGTATCTCCTTCCACTCTGTCTGCGCAACTTTGAACAATTCAATCTTGTTTGTAGGACGCTTAGGAAGCTTCCAGATCCGTTGGCGGAGGTACAACCAACAGTTTTCGATTGGGTTCAGGTCCGGGGAAGAAGGGGGGTGATCAAGATAGAGAAATCGCTGTTTCTTCCCTTGAAGTCGATTTTCGTCACAAGTATGAAGTGGAACGTTGTCCTCAACAATCCTAGCACCACCGTAAGCCCTCCATTTGTTGTTGAGATGCGTCCAAGCCGCTTTAAGGGGTCCCTCCGTGATCTGCTCTCGATAGATTCTAGCCGTTATTCCTCCCCTAGCTCCCTTACTATCAGTTGTGTCAAACATCACCAATTCTGACCGTCCTCCGTACCAAATTGCTGCCCAGATCATGCAGGAACTCCATCCACCCATAAATTTAGGCTGCAGACACTCTTCCAAGTACGCTTCTCCCTCCCTGCGCGTCACATACGATTTTGTCGTCCAATTAAGCTTGAGACACATCTCATCCACAAAAATTGTTCTTCTCCAATCATTGATACTATCTTTCGCATGTTTCTTTGCGTAGGCAAGTCGGAGACGTTTATGACGTTTAGTGAGAAAGGGTTTCTTGCGAGCAATGCGGCGTTTGAAGCCTAGACGTTTCAATGTAGCACGTAAAGTGGTGAGAGAGATGTCAATCCCATCATCCTTCAAGACAGCAATCAACTCTTTCAATGTTTTCTTCCGATTTTGTTTGATAACGACTTCGATGCGGCGAACCATGCGAGGGGTGAAGCGTGAGGGACGTCCAGGTCGAGGAGAGGGGGCAGTGTGACCTTTTTGACTGAGCTGGCGGGTAAGACGTCCCACGGTACTAGGAGAACAACCATGTTCAATGGCGACCTGGCGATAGGTTATTGTCCTTGCTTTTTCCGCTATTCGAGCGCGTGAAACGGGTGAAAAACACTTGCCAGGCATCTTTGGACACTGGAGAAGATGTCCAAATGCAAAAAGAAGCGCTACATGATCCCTGCATGCGAAGATCTGGGTAAACATGAAGACGCGACATGAAACTGATGAACACGATCAAGGTACAATTTTGTGCCATCATTTCCCGCACCCCACTGTACCACCTGAAGTATACTTGTTGCTCAATCCACCGCCACCACATTCCGGGGACGGGACTATCACAGCAGAAACACACTGGGATAGGTTTGACTCCAAGAGAGTGGAAGGAGACACCATGATTGCTCAATGGTTATAAAGCAAAGAGGGTACTTGGATGGAAAGGGTAGAAATCACACCCTTCTTTGTCCCTGCTGCTTTTCACTGGTCAGACCCAGTACAGCAGCTTCCCTCTGAGTACTGGAATGTTCCAAGTAATTATCGCTGTCCCCTGTGCTTCACCGCCCTTGGACTGGATGATAATGAGGACAAGGGTGATGGCAATGACAGTGACAATTCCCAGGAGAGGTCATACCAATCTTCTGACGGTGAAGACCCCAATGGCTCAGGGACAGAAGAGGAAGGGAGTAAGAAGATACAGTAATTTCTGCGAATGAGCTGGTGTGATGAGGGCTCATTTCAGAAGAGTAGGAGTGCAGTAATGTATAGTATGAGGATAGGAAATTATGAGGTGATCATTCACCAAATTTATCCCCGAGGACATGTCTGTAGCTTTTGACCTGATCCATTCTGTGGACCTATATATCTGGGTATCCGTCTGGTGATAACTCCGGAGTAGAATCGACATTGTTCCCTCCTGATTCATGATTCCTCAGTGATTGGCACCTCCTTCTCCCGTCGATGAGAGACTCCCCGGGAATAGTTTTGTATTCATTGAAACAGAAGTGAATACCTATTTGAGGACCTCTCCCTGGTTCAGACTTGCACAAAAAACCTCCAAAGATAGGATGGATATACTTAGTGTATGGTGTTTCTACAGGGTATGTCAGAGTAGACAGGGGGAGCTGATGCATCAACGTGACATCGAGAAAGGATGAGCAAGGGTGAAGCGTGCGACGATTTCGCACGCCGCACGCCGCACTTTGCCGATTTGCCACACTGCCACACTGCCACACTGCCACTTCCCCACGGCTGCATTCCCTCCACCTCCCCACCTAAACCTCGGAGCCGAGTGGACCATAGATACAGTA